GTCAGTAGTTTCTCTATGTATGATCGATACTTATCTTGTGTAGGAAGAAAGATGTTGTACTCCCCCTGTTCCAAATTATAAGACGTTTTGGCTTTTCTAGATACATAGCTTTTGTTATGCACTTAGATATACACTACGTCTAGATAAATATCAAAATTAATGTATCTAGAAATGTCAAATCCTCTTATAATTTGCAACGGAGGGAGTACTTCTTATTTCGTTGCCATCTTTTGTAGTTCAAGTGTATTGTTATTTGTTATATATAGTGTTCTTGCAATTGCTTTTAAAATACACTTGAAGCTGCATTTATGAATGATCTGCAGAATAGTGGTCGGAAGCATCTGTTTGTTGGCTTTGATAGTACAATGGAGTTTGGTCTTAGAGGTCCAACCAATCTATTTGGACATCCAACTGACAAGCAGGTGATTGAATTGGATCAAGCGTTATCACAGTGGGATACTGACTTTGACAAGGTTCCAGTGACAAAAATTGCATTTGGGCACTTCCCGTTGTCTTTCTCAGCATTAACAGAGTCAGGAAAAAGTATCAAGGATGTTTTTCTAAAACAATCATTGGCAGCATACTTGTGTGGGCATCTTCATACAAGGTTCGGGAAGAACTTGAAACGATACTACCATCGGGCAGTCCAGGAACCATCATTATCAGAGCATTACTACCAACTTAACATGCACCAAGGAGATGCAATCCAGAGTAACAAGGAAAACTGTTCTGAAGAAGCAGCTCATATTGAAGAGTTCTGGGAATGGGAGATGGGTGATTGGAGAAAGAGCAGAAGTTTGAGGGTACTAGCAATTGATGATGGATATGTCTCCTATACTGATATAGATTTCAGATTAGGCTCAAAGAGCATAATCATACTACCTACCTTTCCCCTTGATTCAAGATTCATGCAGAGAGCCTCTGCTTTTCGTGATTTCAAATGTCATGTCACGGGGGCATCGTCTTTTGATACCGTGAGAGCTCTTGTTTTCTCTAAACATGAGATAGTATCTGTTTCTGTAAAAATATATGACTCAAGACCAGGAACTCTTGAAGTAGTCTTTGACTCTGAAATGAAAAGGGTGGATTCCAATGAAACTCGAGGAAATATGTATTTGATACCATGGAACTGGAGGGCATTTGATGATTCCTCTCCCAGCCGATATTGGCTCCAAATTGAAGTGATGGATATAACAGGTGACACAAGTGTCAGTCAGTTGAGGCCATTCTCTGTTAATGGCTTGTCTGCAAGAGTGAACTGGACATGGAAAGAGTTTTTTGTGATGGGTATCCAGTGGGCTTCAATATATCATCCTGCACTCTGGTGTGCCTTTTCTCTAATTTTTTCATTGCTTCTTGTTCCACAAATTTTAGCAGTGGTATTCAAAGATCAGTTCACATATAAATGTCTATGCACATATGGTAGGCAGAGGACATTGTTGAAATCTCTAGTTGGTGGTTTCATCTGTTCTTTTGTTGAACTTGCCAGGGTGATTCTTGTATGGTTATTGCTCCTGCTATATGCTATCTATTTAGTTTTTATACCTTGGTTATTTGGTCACCCTATTACTGAAGATGGTAGCCTGACATACATGACATATAAAGGTTGGATTCTAAAAGGACCCAATAGTAGCAACGAAGTAGTCCATGCTGGGATTCCAGATGTCATGGTCATTGTTCTACCCCACCTTTGTTTTGTGTTACTACCCACTATTGTGATTTTAGCTGCCATGGCTGCTGAGAGAGCAGCATATCGAGAGCATTATCTTTCTCGATCAGGAAAGAAGAAAGATGATTACTACCAAAAGAGCAGGAGACAGATAGAACATGAAAACTTTTGGAATGGTCGCTGGATAAGGAAATTTCTGTGTGTTCTTTGCGTGGTGGTTCTATGGAAACATTGGAAGGTATAAAAGCACACGCACAAGTTTCTGTGCTTGCAGTTATCTCTATTCCAAACAATTTTCTGACCCCTTATCTTTATGCAGCTTTGCAGAGCGCTTGTGAAGGCTTATGCTATGAACCCTTTGCTCCATGCGCCAGTACTTTTCTTCTTCATTCCTTTACTCATGGTGTTTGCCATCTACAAGACATGGTCCATTTAGCTGTTCAGGAGGGTATGCCGCACTGGACTGTTCTACAAATGGTCCTTCAGTCTGTGAAGACTGAATTGAAGACTAACTCATAACTGAAGGTGTGCTACTTTGATTTTTTTTTTCTCTCCTTCAGAGAGCATTTTTGTTAGATTGTTTAGCACATATAGCTTTCAGCATTGTGCTGCGTATAAACGAGAGACTACACGTAGAGTGGACGGTTAGGATCTGGACCAATTGAGGAAGCGACTATACTGCTCAATATATAGTTACTGAACTTTCTTTTGAGAACTTGTGAGACTTTGGCCATCTACAGTTTTAAAAAATGTTAGCATTGTCGTTTGAGGAAAGTATGTTATACTACACTATTCAATCTTGGATGCCTTTTTCCTGATTGGAACATGTCACGCAAAATTTGAAATAAAGAGGTAATGATTTGCGTAGCTCCCAGCTTTGACCATCATATTATAGATAAAAAGGGGCAGACCAGATCGTGGTGTTAATATTTTTATTGGAGAAGTGTGAGTACAACTCTACAACTCTGCTCTCTAGTCTCTAGTCAAATATTCATATGCAGCAACTGAGGATGGTGGTGCGAGAATGCAGAGCAGGGGGAAGGGTCAACAGTAGGTTTCTGTGACCCCCTCATCATCCTCGCGAGGCGACTCGGGGGGTGACCCGCCGCCCACCGCGAGAACCCCCCCTCCCGGCACCCCCTCCGGCCGCCGCTCGCCGGCGAGCGGCGGCGGCGCCCGCGGCGGCGCTAAAAACGGCAGCCTGCTGCAGCTCCCTCTCCCATCCACTATCCCTGCTCCCCCGCTCCTCCCCCATCCCCGACACCTTGCTCCTCCGGTGAACTGCTCGGCCGGCGAGGCGGATCAGGGCCTCCCATGGCCGGATCTGCCGTCCTCCGCCTCGGATCTACGGCCTTGCGGCAGGTGGCGTGGCGCTTCTCCCCCATCTCCAGCGCCTACCTCCTCCGTCGAACCGGCCGGCCGCCGGGGCGGATCCGGGCCACCCATGGCCGGATCTGCCCCCCTCCGCCCCGGATCTACCGTTTTGCAGCAGCTAGGGGGCGCGGCGTCTACTCCAACTCCGGTGTACGGCGCGGCATGCGGGCGGGGGTGCCTGGCGCGCGGAGGCGGCGTCCAGCCGTTGGTGTTGCGGCCAGCCCCTTCCTGCGTCTGTCCACCCTCCTCGGGTCTGCGCCCTGGCTCCGTGGCACCCATCGGTTCCTGTGCCTCGTGGGGGTGGTGCCTCTAGATGCATGGAGCTCCGGGCGAAAGCTCAGTCCGGTGGTGTCCGTGCAGACGACGGTGACACCTTTGGCACCACATACCTCCTTGGAGGCGTCGTTCTCTGAGCCCCATGCTCTTGTGCCACCGGTTTCTGGGCGAAAGACTTGCCTTAGAAGCCTCTAAGGCCAACGGCGATGGCGTCCATGTCACTGCCATGGGCGTCCTCCCCTTCCTGAAGACGTCGTTGAAGAATCGACCTAGTTCCTACCGTCGGTTACTTGAGGAGCCCCTCATTGTGCATGTTGTGCTTCATTTCCACTCGTATTGGTCTATCCTGCAGCTGTTGACCTTGCCCGGTTTGTCGTCGTGGATTTTGTAGCGGATGCTTTGTCACCATTGTCATTGGCCTCCTCTCTGACAGATGCTTTACTGCGGAGAGTGACCTAGCCCTTCCCTCGCTACGGATGCTTTGCCGTAGTTGGTGTCTTCGCTTCTTCCCCGACGGATGCTTGGCCGCTGGTTGGTTCGTTGGCGGATGCTTTGCCGCCGTTTGGTTCGTTGGAAGATGCTTTGTTACTGTTGCTGCTGGACGGTCTTCTGTGTAGGTGATCATTGCAATGTTGTATCTTTTTTCTTACAGGCTCAGTTCGTAGGTTTTGGTGTCGTGGGCAGTCGCCATCTTTTGTGTCATTTTTCCTTGTTCTTAGTTTTTACTCCAGATCACTCACCACTAGCTTGATGGTTTATAATCTGTGCTATGAGGGTTCTCTCGTAGCTGTATCCGGGAGTAGGAATTTATACCTAGGGTTGTACCTATGTTCGGTTATTTCGGTTAACCGAGCACTAGAACCGAAATAACCGTAATAATTTCGGTTCTTCAGAAACTGGAACCGAACCTAGGACCGAATATTTCGGTTTCGATTACTTCGGTTCCTGTTATTTCGGTTCGGTTATCGGTTCTCGGTTATTTTTGCCCACCATGAGCTGGTCCAGTGTCTCCCCCCTCAAAAGTCATTTTGTGAGCCTATGCGCAGAGGGCATTTGCTCTTCCAGGCACACGCGCCCGTGGCGTATGCGCGCTACTTAACTGAACCCACCGGAACTGGGAATTTTTGTTAAATAATATTTTTTTAATAATTAATTACAAATCTAGCATTTAGATAGTAAAAATTGTAAATATAGTATGCCGTCGGCCTCTGGCTAGCCGATAGTATACCTATCGGCCCACCAGATGCCGACAGGTTACTATACCATATAAAAAATACTTTTAAAAAAAAACGGCCCGGAACTGGCGGATCGCCCTCTGGCACGGCGGCGCATCCAAAATGAGCGAACGTTCCCAGTTCCCACCACCGTGCACCCCCACGCAATGCCATCGAGCCCATGCCCATGCCTGTGACCATGCAACAAGCAAGCAACACAACACACATGATTTGGCTGAATCTCTGCCCGACTCCGCGCCGGAGAAAATCTACCTTTCGGTTCATTGCAGTACTAACGACGCCGGCTGGGGCACGGCAGAAGAAATGCGGTGGCACTGCCGTGGTGCCCGGCAAAACGAAAAGAAGAGAGGGTGTCCTTTTTTTCGCGGTGGTTGGCTAGGCCAGTCTGCTCTGCGCTTGTGGCCTGTCGACGCTTGTCCTGCTCGATACCCACGCCACATGGCGACATGCCCACATGGGGTGAACTGGTGATTCGTGAAAGAGAGCGAGAGGTGTCGCTCGGCTCAAGCTCAACTCAAGGACTGCACGGACGAGTAGGCCTGGGTCCGGCCTCCGGCCCGGCGACTCCACGCTGTCCTGAAACTTTAAATCGAATAGGAATAGGCCATGGTCATGGATGGCACTGTCCGTCGCTCCGTCGTCGCATCGCATGCCGCCACGGCGCAAGCAACAGCCGGGCTCCACTGATTTCCGGAATAGGTTCTGCCTTTGCAGCAACCGAAAGATGCTTCGGCGGATTCGCTACGCAGGTTCTGCCTGAGGCCTTTTCAATGGGGGGAAACCGTGAAAGCTTGGGTCAAAAAGCTCTGATCCAGGGTGATGCAGGGAAAATCAAACGGAATCAGCATGGTCAGTCAAACTGCGGCACTATGACTAGCGGAGCTGAATTTGGCATGCGAATCAAAGGCTCAGATAATCCGTTATCGATATACCTAAGATGGTTATAAAGGACATTTTTGGTTTGCTTAGACTTAGACACAAGTTGCGTACTCTTCTTACTAAAAAATGTCATTTTGGAGTTCTTTTTTTAGTATTCCATTCCAGTTGAGGAAGCATACTGTATGCAAGTGCTAAGTGGTAACGGACAAAGAGATGCAATGCAAAGCAGCAGCTAGCGTTAAGGAAGGACGGTCTGACCTGGTGGAAGCCGGGCTCGCGGGTGAGCGGCACGCCGAGCTCGCTCATCGCTGCCGAAGAAGAACCTGTACCGGCCGAGGCAGCCGTCGATGGCCTCGGCGAGCGCGGCCGCGGCCGGGTAGCTGACCGCGAACCCGCCGCCGCCGAAGGCCGTGCCGTACGAGTGCATCACGTCCTGCTCCACGCTCTCCGACGGCGCCCCGACATAGTACATCTCCTCGTGGTCGTACTTGCGCAGCACGGCCACCAGGTTGTCCGGGAAGAAGACGGTGTCGTCGTCGCCCATCACGAACCACCGCACCTACTCCCGGTCCCGGGCTGTCGTGTCGTTCCCGAGCTCCGCCGCGACGGCCAGGAACGAGTCCGCCACGATACGGGCCATCCGCGACGCCTCTGGCATTTGGATCGTAAAAATTGTGAGTATGGGATGCCGTCGGCCTCTGGGTGGCCGATAGGGTACCTGTCGGCCTACCAGTTGCCGACAGGACGGCCCGAAACTGGCGGATCGCCCTCAGGCACGGTGGCGCAACCAAAATGAGCGAACGTTTCCAGTTCCCACCACCGTGCACCCCCACGCAAGAACCACCGCCTCGCGTCTACACCTGCCAACAGGCAAGGCAACCAACAACCCACTTGGACGGAGCAGATGGTAAATTCCCCCGCGTTCAACAGTACTAGTGGATTTTCTAAACATAAAGTCGATTCTAAAGCACGCATAAAAGTGGATTCCTGCGCGCTTCCTTCCCACCTCCCAGTGGACTGGACAGTCTCGCTAGTTTCGTCTATAAACTGCCTACAGTAATTCTCAGATGCATGTCGCGGTTGCTCCTTTTCCGCACCGTACGTTCTTGGGCTCTTGGCTCTAATTAATAGTTCTCCTGATTGCATTGCTATTTGCATTGCTGCCTACCGTTGTGCACTGGCGATCTGTGTGAGCATCCCAGGCTTTGTTCGGCTGGCTAGAAAAAACGGTTGATGCTGATTTATTGTGAGAAAAAAACACTATTATTTTACTGAAACGGTACGGCTGATAAAGGTGAGGAGGCAACGCAAGCATCGTCATAGTCTCGAGCTGCACCCGGCAATCTTGCGGCCGGCACGCTGATGATTGCCTTGCTCTCCGGTGGAACAACCACCAGACCCACGCACCGTGCACGTCATAGTCTCGTGTCGCGTCCGCCGGCGGCAGATGCCAAACTGTATGGGCCATCCTCGGCGACAATGCCAAGCGCCGCCGCTGGCCCGTTGTGGTTAATCGTGGGTGGCCGTGGCCGATGCAATCGATGACAGATGCCTCGCCAAAAACACACTGGAAATCTCAGCCACGAGCCTTACCAAGCTAGAGAACCAGACGCGTCACTGTTGACGTCGACTCTGATTTGCGCGCCAATGCTCGATGAAAGCTACGTACCTCTCCCCAGGGGACGTGGCGACGTGGCGCTGACATGTCATTTCCGGGTGACTGTCGAGACGACCGTCAGGACAACAGCGGCACTGTAGGAGTTACTGTACTGTATGTGCTGCGATTGCCAGTTCCCAGCACCAACAGATGCTGCTGGGTTCTTGGAACGAAAGCAGCGGATGATTAGAAATGGGAAACGCCGAGACGAGGCCAAGGTGCAAAGGCAAAAGGCTGCTGATTCTGTTTCGCTTCTGGCTGTTGGCTTTATTCGCTGTTCGCCGTTCATCGGTCACCATGTCATAGAGACGATTCCGGCTTTGCCTTGTGCTGTACATGTGCTGTGATGAATACAGTGATGTGCTGCTAGATACATGGCGTTGTTTTCTGGCTTGGTCTAATGATCGACCTGCAGAATGTTTGTTTTGCGTTTGCTAACCTCTCTGTGGCACGGTGTTGGAATTTGTCAGCTGCCGTGTGGGTTGTCGTCTCACATACAGCTCTTGACGTTGGTACAGACGTACAGTACCTTCTTTATATAAGTGGAAGCAAGGCGAACCATGCTTGGCCACGCTTTGAATTAAACATCTGTCGTCTTCGCTGAAACCAACTTGAAGAGGCCTGGATGCACAACAATATACTACTGGCGTCTAAACAAACAAAGATTGTTGCATATACGTACTGTACCACAATACTTGAGATTTTGCAGACATCATGAAATGTGAAGGCGAGTACAAAGTCTAGTCAGCATTACAATCTCCTGAATTAAATACCGATAAAATGTGTTGTTATCCATGCAAAATTATTTGTCTTTCAGAAGCATACCCCGAGAAGAGTGACTATAATCCGTGCACCACTGCAGCCGATAGGATGGCCCAGAGAAACAGCACCACCACTTAAGTTTAGCTTTCCCTGGATGTATGGAGATATTTATTAGATCATGCAAAGACAAATAGAAATACTGACCGCTGAATTGTATATACAAGTAAAAATTAGTGACTCATAAAAGGGATACCAAGAAGCCTCTGATTAGCTACAGCAACAACCTGGCAATATCTATAAGTACAGTTAAGTCTAGAGGTGTGCTTTAGTTGTAAGTACTGTTGAAACTGGAAGACCAAGAACTTACAGAGAAAGCCTCATTTATTTCATAATAATCAATCTGTGAAGTTTGAAGAGCTGCATTTGATATAGTCTTTGGAATAGCAAGAGCTGGAGCTGTCGTAAACAGCTCTTGTGCCTACATTAGAGAGTGCACACAACATAGATAAAATGATGCTCAGTGTGATAAGTCACAGTAAGCGAGATTTCAAGGTAACCTAGAACACCAATTAATAGTCTTGTCTTGTTAGGTAATGTAGGTCAACCTACAACCAAGATATGTACATCACAGAACATCACAGAACACAATTTATTTCGATTAGGGAAAAACAACGAGCACACAATGTTCAGGCCACATGCCAGAACAAATCGATGCAACATAACCAAACAGTGTCCAGGGAACATTACAATGACAACCTCAAACTAAATGAACATAGGGCAAACATACATCCTCAACATGCACAGTTCGAACATAAAACTAGATAGACTGTCGCAGAAGGAACGTTGGTTGGGATAACAACTACTTCGATCTAGCTCTCAGAACCTCCCAGCAGGCCTCAATCAAGTTCATGCGGCCCTCTTTCGTTTCCATGCTCAGAAAGTTCCTACGGTCCACTGTGTTCTTGAAAACAACTAAAGCATGAGCAAACGCAGGATCAGACTCGGGCAAACCATCTTGTTTCAAAATCTGCTTCACTTTGGCCATCTCGTCGTCGTGCTTGCTTGACCCGGCCTTCTGCTGCGTATGGTTTTTAATGATCTGGGTCAGGTCGTTAAGGCATTCGTCAATGAAAACAGTCTTCTTACTGGGAGGGTTGTTGACAGAATGTTCTCTAGTGGTTCTCTTGGAGGACTGGCCGACACTATGTGTACCTATGGGCTCCTGGGACATGTGTTGAGTTTCATTGCTAGGAGTACTCGGTGTCCTCTCGCGATGATGTCCACCAGAAGCGAGCAACGTGCCCCTTTCACGGGGGGTGTCCCCAAAGAGTGACCAGTCAGGTCAAGGCATTTGGGAATTTTGGTCTATTTTCTTGCACGTTTGCCATGGTTCCACATGTTAGGACGAATAGAATGGGACTATCCCTAATACTTGGTAGTCAGCGGGTTAGAAAGAAATAGGTGGAAGTTAGTACCCCATTGCCACCCTCAAAAAACGAGGGGTCAACTGCGACGCCTCCTGTATTCGGGTCACGCCCTATGCCAGTGTGGGTTTGAAGGTCGCGCCAAGCGAAATATGTCCGCTTCAGGTCGTTCAACTTGTTTTGTAGCTGTTTCTTGTCATAACCCAACTTCGTTTCCTTTTCGAATGTTGGATACAGATTTGACCAACCGACGGTTGTGAGGCCTCGTTGGTTCTAGTGCAAGAGGTTTTTCTATGCTATGACTAATTCCAGAAAGGTCCTCAAGGTGGCTTCATCCCAGTTAGCACGATCAGTGGACATATGTTGTCATGTGCAAAATGTATGGTATGATGTATGCAGCATACAAGAAAAAGTGCAGCACTTGTAAGAGTAACAAACAAGGCAGTTAGGGCGTAAGAGATGGGGACTTACCTTGCCAGAAGTCTTCGCGCGTTTCGAATGGTGGATGTAGTGCCTGCCTTCAGGAGAGGAGCAGGATGAAGTGGACGACGCTGCCAGTGTGGTGGATCCGGCGAGAAGGCAGGCGATTCCGGCGAACTGAGAGGCGGATCCGTTGGCGGCAGTCGGGCTCACCTGCAATAGGAGCATGTGGGGGTCAGATCCAGAGGGGGGTGGATGACGGCGGCGTCGGATCCGGAAGGCGGGGACAACGGCGGCGTCAAAACAGGTGGGGTGGGAGGGAGGTGAACTCGGATCCGGGGGTACCTTGTTGCCGGCGGACGGGCGTCGACGTCAGCGGGTTGAAGGGGGGATGCGGCGCTCTAGTTCGACAAAGGTGAGGCTTTCGACGGCGCCGGGGTAGGCACGGAGACGCGGAGCTCATGCCCGCGGCGGCGCGCGCAGCGGAAACCCTAGACATGGGGGGGTGCGGGGACAAAGTGAGGGAGGGAGGAGAACACGGCCGCCGGTTTGGCTTTTACCTCCAGCCATTCGGCTGGACTTGAGCTGATCAGCCCAGCCAAAAGCAGTCCAGCCAGCCATTTTAGCCCAGCCGAACAAGGCCTTCGCTAGCAGTCTCTTCACGTCACGTTTATAACGGTGCAAGGATCTTCAAAGCGCACACTTCGCATAATAAAAATACAGAAAAATGAGCAAAGTGCAGGCGATGGAACAGCAATCGTAAAGGACAGCCTTGCAGATGCAGCGTAAATTCCACAGGTGGCAGGTCATGCAACAGCGCAGCTACCGTTTAGCACCAACCAGAGAGCTCATGCTTCAAGTTGATCACATGTTGGGATTAATTTCGCTGAACCTCAACCAATACACACAGGCCGTTACAAAACAAACAAAGCTGAACAATGAAGCCCCACTGGCCCAGTTACAAAACCATTCGGCAGATGCCGCCAGTGTACTTGTCTGAGCTATCTATAGTAGCAAATTCAAGGCTGTGCATCTCTCTCACCAGGACCAGATATCCCAATTTTAAATGCAACCCCAAATGCAATTCATTCACAAACTGAACAAAAGTTCAGGTGATTTTTTTAAAAAAAATATGCTACAATTATGGATTAATTATTTGATCGTATCAAATGCACTCTGATATAAAAAATAAAAGGCTCTGCTTATTGCAAGTAGAGTTCTAAAACAAAACACCCTTTCAAAAGGGGAACTAGGGCAAACAAAAAGGGCAGGTAAGATGGAGCACCCGCTTCTTCTGAACCAGATCAGCATACAATACAATTTGCAGAAGTCGACGCTAGTGAAAACCATGGCAAACAGGATGATCTATGCCTTCTCTATTAGCTGCAAGACCTCAGCTTCGGTGGGCAGTGACGGGATCGCCCCCTTCTTTGTGGTGGTGATTGCTCCACACGCGTTAGCGAATTTAATAGACTCCACAAGTTTCTTCTCATCCTGTACAGTCACCAGATACCAAATTTCCATCACATGGTGAAAACTGAAAACTGAAGGGACCAACTTGACATGTAGAACCAACAATTTTTCAGATCAACGAACAAATTTCAGGCAACATACTTGTAGTGAGGATGGATCTTTAACGATCCTTCGGAGCAGAGCACCAACAAATGCATCACCTGCGCCAGTTGTATCAACTTGTTGTACTTTGAAGGAAGGGACAGCTCCATGGAAATCCTGCAATCAAGCAAAGTAAACTTTTGTAAGTCTCAGCTGCAGATGAAGTCTTCCAAGTCACAATGTGCAAATTATATATATGCTAATAGTGTACACTTTGAATTTGGCAAAGACGGGCCCTAGTGAAGTTCAATATAAGCACCCCATGAATATTCAGCATCAACAACACATTTTCATAGGAAAGCAGCAATCACAAAGTTATAAAGCATACCCACCCTGGCATAGTACTTGCATCCTTGATCTCCAAGAGTCACTAGGAGCAGCTTCATGGTAGGTCGCCACAGCTTCATGACAACATCGTCCTCCACTGAGTCGATGCCTGTCAAGAACTCAAGCTCGACTTCGCTGACCTTGACAATGTCTGCCTGGTCCCAGATGCTCAAGATCTGGGTGCGGGCCTCCTCATGGGATGGCCATAGTGCCTCCCTCAGGTTTGGGTCATAAGAGAGCAGTGCACCGGCCTCTTTGGCAATCTCCATGGCACGGAGATGTGCCGTCCGGCAAGGCTCAGCAATCAAGCTTATTGATCCGTAGTGAAAGACCGCAGCCTGTAGAAAAAACAACTTATGAAAAAATTACCCAAACATTCCCTTAAAAAAAAACTACCCAAACAGCGAGGAAAGATGGACAGATGCTGCAAGTTGTTGCAAGATTTTTTTTAAAAAAAAAAAAAACTGTGTTCCAATGAGTCATTGCATTAGTCCACATATTTTCCAGTAAACTCTACAAATGACAGCCTTTTTTTTAACATGTTTACAGAAAGCATGAAAAAAAAATGAACCATCTAGCATCACCTGATACGTGGTAATTCTAGATTTAATTCAAGTTCTTGGTGTAAAGAAAATGGAATAGTGCTAATCCAAATTCACAGATCCAACAAGGACGTTTGCCATCATATAGTTATGCATTTATATCTTAGTAGGATCACACGGATAAATCAGAGTTTCTCTAAAGCTTCAATGGAACTGAGGAGGAACTGAAGTATGTCACGTCAGTTGCAATTATTGACCCACCACAAAGAAACAAAAATTCCTCCGTGGACTCCATTAATACACGCCATGGCTAACGATTTCTACAAGGCCAGCTCACGCCGATGGATCCAAGAAGCACGGGGTTTGACTAGTTTCATAACGGCCCTCCTTTGGATTGGATTACTACTACTACTTGTTTGTCTCCCCCCAATTTTTAGGATGAATCACAGAAGCCACATGACCAGATCCAGAAAAGAACAATTCGCCAACTAGAACGCACAACAAGATCCCACCAAAACCAGCAAAGAAAGGCGCCCACTTTGGCCCCGGAATCTTTGGATTCCACGGGAAGATTCAACATCAAAGAGCCGAATTAGACGACGGGAAAAAAAGGGGTACCTTTATATTTTTGAACGTAATAAACAAGAAGAGGCCCGAGAAAATTGCAGGCGCCGCGACCTAAACCGCACGCGAAATCAGCGCAAGAAACCTAGCGGTCGCATCCAGATCCCACCCGGGATCGAATCAAGAAATGGGCGGAAAGATTGATACTGTACTCGACGGGATCAATCAATTACAACAATAAGTCTGTCCGCAGATCACGGGGTGTGAAGGCACGGGGATCACCAAGGAAGGATATCAGGGTAGCGCTGGGCTTAACTTACCCTCTTGATGAGGTCAACGTTGAGCTCGTCGGCGGTGAGGAGCATGTCGGCGCTGGGGTTGCGGTAGAACATGAACTCGCGCTCGCCGTCGGCGCGCAGGGTGACGAAGGCGAGCGCGGTGCGCGCGCCGGCGTCGAAGACGACGCCGCCGCCGCCGACGCCGTTGTCGCGGAGGATGGCGGCGAGCATGCGGCCGAACTCGTCGTCGCCGAGCTTGCCGACGAAGGCGGCCCCGCCGCCGAGGCGCGAGACGGCGATGGCGACGTTGGCGGGCGCGCCCCCGGGCGCCTTGAGGAAAGCCGGCGCCTCCGCCAGCGAGACCCCCGCCACCGTCGGCACGAAGTCTATCAGCATCTCGCCGAAACTCACCACCAGCTCTCGCCCGGCCGCCATTGCTCCTCGCGGTTGCCGCCCCCCTAACAAACACAGCGCACGGACGCAGAGGTGGGGTGGGGAGAGAGGAGAGGAGACGAGGTGGGCGCGTGTGCGGAATTTTCTGGTGAGGTGGCGAGGCGGCGTGTTTTATAGAGGACGGGGAGGGGTGCCTTGGGCCTTGGCTTGCGTAGGGGGGTGAAGGCGAAGGCGGATGTCGGATGAGAGCCGAGAGGGAGATGGTGCGGGTGCGGGTGCGGCCGCGGCCGCGGCCGTGCTTGGGTTTCTGCGTGGGGTAGCGTCGCAAGGGGACGGATGACCACAGCACAGCACAGGTGCGCTGGCTGTTGACGGCTGCCCTGCTTCGATCGGCTAGCTTTTTATTAGGCTTCTTCCTCCCAGCTCGTCCTGTAACGTTTATCTAGAACCATGCCTTGCCGTAGGTAGAATGGTGTATGAATCCTATTTTCTATATATGAAATGAAACAGGATGGAGATCCCCTCCCCATACTGAGGAGCCATCAAGTATGTGAGGGGAGCCTAAGAGGATGATTTTGGATGTTGCAACAAAAATAACATTCGTATTGGTAGTAAACGTGGAAATTATGGACAAAAGACGGCGTTGCAACAATTAAGCATATATCTATTAGACTTTCTATTTTACTTAAACTTATTGTTGCCCTTACTATAAAGCCTTATCGTCTTATCAATAGACGTACAACATTTTATTATTTTATATATAAGTGATTTAAATCTATTTTGTCACTAAAAAATCGTAATTTAGCCTTATGATGAACGGTCGCACTACTTTACTGCACTCATTACTATGCCCTGTTGGCCGATACATAAGCCGGCTGGTTTTGACTGATTCAATAATGTTCTATGAGGGAGAATAATAAGCTGACCCAATTGAAAAGTAGTTCAAGCGAATAGGGCAATACATGAGCTAGTTGCAGCTGCAAAGCTCAAGTAGTGTAGCCTATTTGGACCTAATAAGTTGATAATAAGGGAACCATAAAGTATGTGGAAAGTTTGTGAGCGTGAAAAATATGGCTACCAAAGTCTTGGCTACGTGGTTCCTCGTCCCTTGCTGACTCCACAAAGCATCAATTGCTCCAGCTCACAGTGGTCCGTGGAGTCCAATTCAGCTGAAGCTAACGTGTTGTTGGCAAAGCACTCCATCGCACGTAGGAGGAGAAAATCTGTTGCGGCCATGTCCACCCGGAGCAAAATGTAGGACAAAACAAAGGGTGATGCCACCAAGGCCTCGATGAGTTCCATCGTCCACGTGGATCCCCCTAGCTGTCCCACAATTGGACCCAGATGACAACGAGCTAAAGGGGTCTCAATCAGGTCATGATAATTACGGTAGTAAAGTTTGTCTGCAAGGATACACTTGTTTTTGTCTATTTAGGGCTTCTTTGATATCATTCTCATATATATTGAGATTCTATAGATTAATATTCTCGATTTTCTGAATAAAAAATTAAGGGTTATTTTGATCTCATTTTTAAAGTGATTGCCTTTGTATAGCGTAAAAATGTCCAAATATTGGGTTTGGATCTCGTTCTAGAATTCTAGTGTTTGGATCTCATTCTTCTTTTTCCACATAATTCTCAATTTTGTTAGGAGATCCAAATAAGCCCCGGGCTTCCCACTATATGGATCGTTGTGTTCCTGGACTCTACAATAAACATGCAACTGAATTTATAGTTTCCCGGTATGTCTGTTTACTGTGTTGGTTTTCTGTTTTGTAACTTGAACTTACTTATGGTTCAATAGTTTTGTATAACATTTGGTCACACATAGATTGGGTTGATTGTTAGATGCAGGTATATACTCTCTGTCTTGTAATACAGTGTATTTTAAAGATTTTAGGACATGTTTGAGAACACAAAAGACGCATGTGCCTTTACTTTATTTTCTAATCAGATGCTTATCATCAACACGATTAATGGTGACCGGTTGGTAAATGGCAAGTAGCAATATTGTTGGGACACCAATACACGAGTAGCAGAGGCTAGTACAAATGTAAGCTAATGGCATTGGAACACTTGTGCGATGTTGTGCAGGGATGTTGGCGCAGCCTTCACGTGGGACCCGCGATGGGGCGAAGGCTCATACGACGGCGGTGGAGACATCCGGGAACAGCTAGAAGCGAAGGCCCCGGCGAATCAGGCGAAGACGGAGGCCGCGCACGCTTCAAGAAAGAAGCCCAAGACGCCCCCGTGAGCGGCAAGAAGGACTTCGCCTCTGATTGTCGGTAAGGCAAAGGCCTAAGCATGGCTCTGAAGATGTCCGGAAGAGTTCCTTGGCGGAGGCCCAAAGAGCGAAAACGGAGGCTCCGGCGAAGGCCGTGCGATCCCTGCCCAAGAGAAGGGAGTTCTTGCAGCACCGCGGCCCAAAGTCGAAGATAGGTCTCCCATGGGCCTACGGCTAAGGCCCAAGAAGCAAAGGCGGGACGGGAGGAAAAGACCTCGGATGCCCCTAAAGATTTGTACTAGTCTTAGGATATTCTAGGAATGTACCATAGCTGTCATAGGGTAAATTTGTACCATGGAACAGTGGCAAAAAGTGCCCTATAAAAAGAGGGAGACAAATGCTATGTAAAAGAGGTAGGTGAATGCATTTATGAAACCCTAATCGAGCCTGGGCTCACCTTCCGCATTCCATACCTTCGCCCAGGGCACCCCGCTGGGCGACGGCTCCGTATCCCTCCTGCTAGAAATCTGGTTTTCCAATTTTGGCGCCCATCGTGGGGCTCGAACCCACGACCACAAGGTTTTTGATGAGGAAGGACCCATGTAAAACCCACTAAAATATAAAGAGGAATTCCCCCAAGAACGCTATATAAACCGAAGGTCGAAAGTGGCTAGCAACGAAGACATAACATTCGACAACAACAAATCACAACAAAGAGGACCTTCCACTGCCTTAGTCGACGGCTCTAAAGCGTGGAACGACCTCCGTGGCTGAATCAGCATGCGCCCTTGAAAAAAACCCTATCCACAATCAGGCATCAAGGATTTCTCAAAAATGGCCAAAAGGCCAAAACCCCAACAAAGACCTACCTCCGCTGTAGGCATTGGGCGAGAAGAATACCTGGCGAAGACCTATCCGTATCAGGCAACAGGTAGCAATAAATGATGTATAACGAAATTAAAGAATCAAAGATACATCAAGTACTAGGAAATCCGTCAAAATAATACGGCTTTAAAAGTGTATCAAAGTAATAAACCTTGGCCAACCACCAAGACTTATAAATCGTACAAGTAGTAGACTATAAAACCCAAAGCCCTCCCCCAACTCTAGCCTCAGTCAGTGCATCACCATATCCCTAATTCTAGAAGTGTGCAGGGGAAGTCAAGGCAACCAAGAGCCAATACACCATAGAGCAAGATGAGAGAGCCATGGAGGCCGGAGTTTCCTTAGAAGCGAAAAAACAAACGATACCGTGCGAAGACTCGTAATTACAGCAGCTCGAGCATCCCGGCGAAGGCCACGGAGAGATCATATGCATCCTCCACATGGTGTTGTACAGCCTCCATGGGGCATTGTATGACCACAGTCCGGCAGCAAGCAGTCAGTTTCAGAGGTTGCGGGAGGGTATCGCACGAAGACTCGTAACATCCCCCCGCAATCAAAGACACCATATGGTGTAAACCGACATCAACCATGTTCAATGGGAGCGCAGCTGCTCCAGCATGGCCGAAGGCAACAATGAAGCAATCCAGGCGCAAACAAAGACGACGCTCAAGAAATACTTCGTCAACCTCCGTTGCTTGCTCAAATTGCACTGTGGCCTCTGGAGAAGCATAAAGATCGAAGACTAGCACCTCCGATGAGTGCTCAAATTGCGCCAAAGCCTTCAACAACTACAAGATCAAATACGAGCACCCTAGCTTCTCCGCCGCGATGCGCTAGAGCCTCCCTGTCGACAGCAAGAGACCAAAAACGGGGATTACAACAGATCAAGTATGCAATGGAGCCTCCGCGCAGGATACAAGGTCGAAGACTAGCATCTTAACTCTTCCGCACCGACGCGCAAGCTCATTCCCTAGTAGGAACCAGAGAAGAGAGAAGCGGAGGCAAGAGCAAGAAAATAAGCGCCATCTACTAGAACCCTTCGGCCTAGGTAGCAACTGTAATCGGATTCTTTAAAAAAATAAGTATCCAACTAAGCACTCCAAGTCATCTTTATTCAAAGAAAACAAACATATTACAGCAGAAACGCATTCTTACAAAACCCCAAAGGCAGTAAGAAGGCAAAACGCAAGGTGTCGAGCCTCGAGCATAAACATTGCAAAGGCACGAAGGCCTACCAAACAATACAATGTAAACCTAATGTTAAACCGGAGAGCGAGGCCCTCGCCAGGCCAAGGATCGCACAAATTCAGCACGCTCATCGTCTATATCATACAATACAAAAGCAAACATATCACGGACCGATCATTGAGGGAAAGCAGCACGCCAATACTCCCGCAATTCTCCACTGACATAAACACCATCTTGCATCATCGTTAAAGGAACAACATCCTGCGTGTCGATGTTTTACCACCGGCAACCCGCCACGGGGGTACCCGGGGCGGTGATTTGTTCGGAGGGGTATCGGCGTATGTAGGAACTCAGTGGTAAACGCAGGGAGACAACGATTTATACTGGTTCGGTACGCCGGAAAATCACGGCGCCCTACGTCCAGTGTGGAGTAGATAGTATGTTGTGCCCTGCGCTATGTCGTCCTCTTGATCTCTATCGAGATCTAGAGGCTTTTGTTGTGTGTTGTATGGCGTGTTCTTGTGTAGGTGCCGATCTAGGGACCCCTGCCCTCCTTTATATAGTCCAGGAGAGGCGGGAGTCCTAGTCGGTTACAAAGTAGAGATCCTAGTAGGATTATGTGTAACTAGTCCAAGTAGGATTACATGTAGAGAATCCTATTTGGACTAGGTTTTCTTCTCTCTTCTCCATGGGGAACCCTATGGGTCCCGCATCGACAAGCCCCCGAGCATTTCATGATTGAGCTT